AATCAAGACAGCGAATTTGATGAAAGACTTTAACTCCGTAGTGACTCTAAGATTCAAAAAAAAGGGATAACCTCTCAGGACTATTGTGCCAATCAATATCTAACGTATACTATATTCTTAAAAGTTCTCATGCTCGGGTAATTCTCTCCATAAGTGATAAGAGATTTCCCTCATGAACTTTACCAGGTTTGGTAAGAACTTACTTGACCTTGATCCAAATGTTTATTTAGTGAGTTTTGGTCTATGAGAACAAATTAAAGGATTTTTTTGTCCAAAAAGTGGGTAAAAATTAACCCAAGTTCCAATCAAGAGATTACTAACTTTGTCCTAGGACGTTCTTAAGACTTACTCGCCTTCATGACTTCTTTATTTTTTGAAACTTTCTCGTCGGTTTTCAGTTTAGTTTCAAACACTATAATCAAGTTAATGGTTTGAATACGGGTAATCAATCAATTAAAATAAAGATGTTTTACTGTTTAAGAACCATAAATGTCTATAATCTACGAATATTTTATTCCCACTAAAAATATATCAATAAAAAAGATGAAAAATTGAGCATATTAGATTTATAGAGTAAAGGTTGCAAGTAACAAACAGTAATGGCGGCCAGATGAACATAAACAGCCACTCTTATAACGTCCCTATGATACAGAGCGCGATTTTCCGCCAACGTGACGCGAGCCATGGACACATTGGATTCATAATCCGGCGTGCTAGCCATTAGGCCACGTCTACCTTCTTTTTAGAGGGAAACTTCCATTCATTTTACAAACAAGTACATTCAAAGTAAAGGTAATATTGAGGCGGTTGTATTTTTGTTTTGTTTTGTTGTTGTTATTGAGAAAATTATAAAGATGAATTTTAAAACAACTTTTAGGACCCAAGTGATTAGTACAAGTATTTTCAACATGTGTAACCCAACAAGAATAAGCGTATAAGGATGAAATATTTTCCGTTTGCAAGACTTAACTTAACCAAGACAGAAGGTTTTTGGTTGTCAGATTCTTGGTACTCAAAATATTGTTTTTAGGGCAAAGCCATCTGGGACTATTTGCTGTGTCCATCGCGGGGGCATAGAACCTCGGATTTTAGCGCTGTAAGTCCGTAGACTTACCTCAATTCCACCTTGGAACGGCATTCGGATGAATGACACACGTTCTCTTGAGGTGTTTAAAACTTCAAAATCATCAACTGACCATATAACTGCGAAACAGCTTATCTAAACAAGAATCATTTAGCATTTAAAATGAAAGTACTCATAGTGAAGCTATTTGATAAACATTAGCCAGCAAACACGAAATAAAAAAATCTTTTCTGCTAACCTTAGCTTTTATTTTATTGTCATGCATTTCTAAACCGCTTTGAAGTTCATCATATGAGCTGAGCTTATTCAACATATTTCCCATTTAATAACAAAATTCAGTTTTATGAGTCTTAATGTTTTTAAACACTAAAAATTTTTCGGTACTGCCGTCTAAATAGTTTTGTATTTTGTGGTTCTTTATATCAGATATTACGTTCTAATCGCTAGACATTTTACATTTAAAACTGTTGTGCTACTCCAAGACAGAATACTTAAAGTATATTGTCACCTGATAACCACGAGAAGAAGCCGGTATGTGGAGAGAGAGAAATTTTGTGGTTAATGACAAAAGTTACCTTGAAAACAATGGTCGACTAAGACGTATGGATTGTTTTTTGAATTTTGCGCAAAGCTACACGAGAGCTATCTGCGCTAGCCATCCGTAATTTAGCAGTGAAAGACAAGAGGAAAGGCAGCTAGTCATCACCACCCACCGCCAATTCTTGGGCTACTCTTTTATCAACGAATAGTTGGATTGACCGTCACATTATAACGCCCCCATGGCTGAAAGGGCGAGCATGTTTGGTGGGACGGGGATTCGAACCCGCGACCTGCAGATTGCGAATCGAGCTCCCTAACCACCTGGCTATGCCGAACCTGACGTGTGGATTGAAGTCAATGTATTATTTAATAATTAATCATAAAAACTGTACTTACTGAAGATGGGAACTAAAATGAAATGGAAATAAAACTGTGTTTATAACTGTTTGGAAAAAAAATGAATATTAAATAACGAAGGGAAAACACAGACAAGACTTTACTAATACGTCTTGCCACTTTTAAAGTTGGAAACGAGTATGTCTCAAAGTGCCAAAAATACTTTTACATTCCAGGATCTTTCTATACCCACACGGGTTGGATAACAAAAGTTTGTAAGTCTTACTGCTCAAAAAACTTGTAAAATCTTTACTCACACGGCACGATAACAAGTAACTTCTAGAGCTAAATTAGCACAAGATTTAGACTAGAAATATAGGGTTCTAAATGATAGCTCTAAAATAATTTAAGACTTGTTTCTGATATCCCCCCCCCCACTACTCCCCACGATGGCTCTGTGGAAAGACAGGGGGATTATAACGTTAAGAATTGGGTTTCAATAACCGCGGTGGACAAAGCACAGTGGGTTATGTGATACTTTTATGCTACATTAGTTAAATTGTAAACTTTGTTGATATTTTATCCTTTTCACTAGAATGTAAAACACCAGAATTTTCACAAATATTTTATTATTTACTTAACCATAGCAAATTTTCATGCTAAGTTTCCTAACCTTATCTACGAACAATTCTTCCAGTTTTCTTGATTTATTCTGATTATTAAAAATAATTGTGAATTGTTGTCAGAATTTAAAATAATATATACACATATATATAACTTTCCTTTTTGCCAATTGTCAAATAGAAAGGCTTTTGGTTATATTTTTTAATAGTATAAATATATACTGTTACGACAGCGGAAGTCACGCGACGCTGGAAGCATGCGCGCTGGAGTTTCTAGAAGGATTATGACTTATCGAGGAACCTCGCGAATGTCCGAGTGTTTGCCAGGCGCCCTCTTTTTTACTATATAAGCTCGGCAAATAAAGCCAGCGATCCTAGAGATAGATTGAAGATATAGATAATTGAGTCAAGCGAACAGTAGGCACCATAAGTAAAGTGTGTGAACCACTGTGATTTCAGAACAAGTTAACGTACGAAAAATAAATTCTCCAACTCTATAGATATTATGGATATATCAAATGCTATAGATGTAGTTCCCTCCTTGTTGTCAAACATCCACATATGCCTATTCAATTACTTTAGAATTTCTGTTGACAAGCCGAACTATCTTCTCTATTTCTATCGCACTAGTATTCTCTGTGATCCACTTACAATTGTGGCGCGAGTTACCGTAATCATTTGGTGTTCTTTTGAAGATCTTCTGTTCCTTTTGTCAAAGTGCACTCAAACTGATTCAATTACTTTAGAACCATGCTTTGATGAAATACTTTTTTTCTTATCTTCTTTTCTACTGTTAGTTTCACTCTAACATATTAAACGTTAGGCCTATCACTTTTACGTTACACACCAACTATATTCTGTTTGATTTTATCTGTCTGCTGCTTCCCGCTCGTCTCACGCTATTTATATCTTTATCACTTAATTGTCTGTTCGCCTTCTATATTCTCGATGTCAATGAATTATTAACAAACTTCCTACAATTGTCTGCCTTTAATTCTTATTATAACAAAAACTAAACAATAATAAAGCATTCATTCACAAAATTAAATTATTGACTAATATCTAAACCAAGCAGTCTTTTATATTACGACATAAACCCCTCTTCAAGATAAAATATAAAATATATTACTATACACAAAGTCTGCTCCAACATTTTCAGTCACTTTGATAGCCTCAATGTGGAACCTGTCGCTCTGAAGGTACAATGCCCACCTTTTGAGCCTCGCACTGTCGATCTTGCACCTCTGAATGTATACAAGTGGTTGATGGTCCGTCTGGATGATGAACTCCTTCCCATATAGATATTTCTAGAATTTCCGAATGGCAAATATAATAGCAAGACAATCTCGTTCAATCATGGAGTAGTTCTTCTCAATATTTAACAGCTTTTTATATGTTACTAGAAACAGTCCATCTTTGTGTTCTTGTAAGAGTACTGCTCTAATTCCAATGTCTGAAGCATCAGTCTGAACAATGAATGGTTTGTTGAAGTCTGGCATTCTAAGAATTGGTGAGCTTCCCAACATGTTCTTTAAATTCTGGAATGCCACCTAGTGTGGTTGTTCCCACTTCACCTTGTTGGGTAAGCCTTTCTTGGTCAGGTCTGTCAATGGTGCAGTAATTTCAGCATAATTTAGGATGAATTTCCTGTAGTATCCTACTAACTCCAGCAAGGATCTGACTTGCTGCTTGGTCATTGTAGCTGGTGTATCCTGTATGCAGATTATCTTTTTCTTTTCCATGGCTATCTGTGAATCGCCCACTTTATGTCCAACAAACTCCAGCACAGAATATCTGATGTAGCACTTAGATGGTCTGATGATGAAGCCTGCAGCCCTTACTGGAACAGTTTTATAAGTCTCTTCAGATGGTCTTCCCATCTTGCAGTGTGTGTCAGAATGTCATCCACATAGTGCTGGATGTTGGTGGTGTTGTGCAGCATCCTCCTCATCATGCAGTTTAATGTTGCTGTTGAACTGACTAACCCAAATGGCATCCACATATATTGGTAACATCCATTTGGTGTCACAAATGCTGTCTCCTGTTAGACAGGCCTAATAAGTTTTAATTTCATGCTCTTGTATATATTGAAAAACAAACCACATCCACAAATTGTTTTTAACATTCAGATGTATGATGAAGTGACTTCACCAATGTATGGATCTATGTCGAACATCAGCTACAATGTATATATACGTACGTACTTGTATATACGCGTGCACACATCAGACATAACTAGGTACAATATTAGTAATCAGTGTTATACTGATTGTGCTTAAAATATTAATATTATACAAACATCTATATTAAGAAAAACTTTAAGATACCTAGAGTCATATTCCATATAAGGGTTTAACAAACAAATTGAATTTTTCTGATTAACTAGAGCTTTAACACAAAGAAGACTTGCACACTAAACTTTTATTAAGTTTTATTTCCATCAAAGGAAAATACAGTAAATTGATATGGAGACAAGGATCTTGGGAGGTAGTGAGAGGAAAGGGAAATGGTTACCCAGACAAGCATGGATTAAGTAAAGCATTTTTCTTTGGTGTACACCACTTCAATTCAGACCTAATCTAAAAACTTTGTTTTTTCAGACACCATGTAAGAAGAATTTATTCCTGGCATTGATTCTGAAAACTAAGATATTGACCATGAAAATACTTTCTAGGTTTAAAAAATTATTAGTTACCACATCTTGTTATGCTCAGTCGAATTTACTTTACACATTCACAGTTTGCTTGTTTGGTGTTAATCAGAAAAATATTGAGTATATACAGTATATTCTGTTATCTATACCACCATTTATTGCCTATGTATGAAATATATGAAAGATTCCAAGAGCGTAACTTTTAATATCAAAAGTTCAAAGTCATCCATAAAATAACCATAAATTGATTTACTGATGTTGAACATTCTCAGTTAGCCTGAATTTTTTCTTGCAGTTACTAAAAGGGCCAGGTTTTGTGCTTAAACAATACACAAGTAATTATCATTGAAAATCTAAAACAAAAAATTATTACATCTGAAACAACATTGAAAACTAACAATAATACAATATACATCTTATTTTATAATAGGAAATGAGTTACTTGTTAAAGGACTCCAAACTCTTTAAAAATATGTCAATCAAAATAATTACAATTCAGATAACTGACTACTTACACATTTAAATAACCATAAATATTTTCCATACATAGCAGAACTGCTGCTATTCACATAATGGTATAAAACTAGTGTTAGTTGACCTACTAACAAAACTATCAAATACTTGGTCTTGTTTTACACTTGACACAACTTTTTTTTTCTGTAGGTAAACTTACTCTTCTCATGTTTTTCGTTTAATTTTTTTAAGGAAAATACATGGATACAAAAACTATATAAAACTTATCACTCATTAATTATGTTTATAGACACCTTATGTTTATTGTAAATCCAGAAAACATTAAGAAATGGGCACAAAACCAGATGTTGAATAAAGGTATACGAAGCCTGTTCAAGACACATAATTCAGACTCTGAGTTGAGGACGAATAACTTTCTGCACAAGAGTCACTGAAAGAAATGTGGTCTACTGACTCTCCATCTTGTGAGAGAAAAGTCATGGATGACACACAGCTGTCTGTTAGCCTCTTGTTACCACTTTCTATATTCAGATTGTCAAGAGGAGCAAGGTTGGACATTGATATATCAAAATCATGTAGTATATTGGATGTTTCAACCGATTCTTGAGGCATCATGATGCTGTTTCCAATAACTGGAGTTATCGATCGCCTTTCTTCACTCAAAATTTCAGAAGATCCAACATCACTAGGAGAGGTAGAAAACTCATCCAAAAAGTCAAAACAAGCAACTGCCTCTCTTTCCTTTTCTCCAAACCGGTAGAAGATATCATAACCATTTATGACAGATGTTCGATTCTTCGGTATAAAACTTACTACAGCATCTCGATCTGAGGCTGCAAAAATTAACAAAATTAAATAAGAAAACTTACAAAATATTTTGAAGTTTTGTTACAGAAAAGCCCTATTTATGTTTAATAACTATGAGATAAAAAGAATACTACAATTTTAGCATTATTGATAACTAAAATTATAAATTAGCCTTTGTGATATACTGCACTATAAAACCTAGAAATAGTCTTAATAAATTATAACACAATGGATTAATTTCTTTTAATATAATACTTCTAAAAGTTTAAATAATCATCATAACATCAGTCATAAAAGAACTGAATCACTGAAACTTAAATAAACAGATTAATAAAAACAATTTATTGGTGACTTCATGCCCAAAAACCAAACTGCCAGCTTGTCCTGCCATTTCAAATTAGTGTGAAATTGTGAAGTGAATAAAAAATTCATATTCATATGCTGAATGGGTAAGAAAGAATTAAGTTTCTCATTTTACGAGGGGGGGGGGGGGCTGCCTGCCTGATAGTGATGCA